GGGGGGGGGGGGGCGGCTGTCTAGTTCTGACTCTGGAGGGGGGGAGAAGCCCGCGGGGGTCGCGGCAACCGCATCAACTCTCACTCACTGTTGCATGAATTCATCCGCTGCATCCAAGGGTAGACAGGGGTGGAGCACTTCTGCTCCTCGGTCTCGCCGAACACGCTCTTGTCCTGCGCGCAGTCGGACTTCCGCGGCTCCGGGTGGAACTGGGGCGGCTCGTCGGCGCCCGAGAGCGCGCAGGCCGACTCCTTCTCGCGGTAGAAGGCCGGCGCCGGCCCGTAGTCGCAGGGCGCCGCCCGGCCGTAGCCGCCGCCGGCCGGCGGGTAATAGGAGGAAGCAGCAAAGCCCTTGTCCTGGCCGGGCCCGGGCCCGTAGGGCGCGGGGTAGTGCCTCAGAGGGTCCGCATAGCCCGACGAGTAGAGCGGGAGCTGGCCCAGGAAGGACTCCTGCCCGCTGGCCAGAGTGACGGGGAAGGTGGAGTTCACGAAATAGGAACTCATTGGGAGGGGAGGCGCGCGCGGCCGCTGCTGCTCCGCCGGGTTTATGATTTGTTGTGTTTTATAGTCCGAGCGCCGCGCCTATTAGTAGTATATCTGAGATTGGGTTTTAGCTGAGGGGGGATGGCGAGGTGCCAGTGAGGGCCAGAAGGAAATACAACCATCTGATCCAACACTGACCAATGGCAGAGGCAGGAATTGTCAAATAGCACCCAGGAGGAGCGCAGCCCGCGCGAGGGACCCGCGCACAAACCTATCAACCTTTTTTTCCTCCTTCTTCTCCTGCTTTCTCTCTCTCTCTCTCCCCAACAGCACAACGCGTCCCGTTCCACCTACGTAGGATCTGCGAAAGAGGCGTCTGTGCCTTTGAGGGAGGAGGGAGCACTTGGATTGAGACCACCCCATCCTCCAGTGATTAAATAAATATATCCCTCCCCTCCCCACGTAGAATAGGAAAAAGTTAATTGTGTTTTCAGAAAAGTTAACCCCTGACTTGCTTGAGCCCCATTCCCTCAAGGGAAGGTGGATAAATATCTCCGAATCTCGAATCTCAGTCTCCCTAGAAGAGAA